TTCGCAGGTGCAATACCGGTACCACATTGCTGGATATTTTAACTCCTCTTTCCTGTTGGCCGCGCGAGGTCAAGTGTCTGCAGTAAATATACCGGTATATATAAGACCTTGAACTTGTGAATCCTCACTGGAATCTTCCATTCTGATGACACTGGTGAAAACTACTACCGGTACAATAGCATTGATTCCTGTTGTTCCCTTGTTTCTTGCAACAAGGCCTTAGCACACATCATGCTGAAGAGGTGGGATTGGGTAATATACAGTCTATTGAACATGAGAGGTCGCAATGAACATCGGAATGTGAGAATGCGCGCACTGACGCCAAAAGTCTACAATATTAGCCCAATGAAAACTTGTGAAATGGTTTTTGAAGCAGCATGGAGTTCTTGATATTCAACATACAACCTGGTACGTGGAACGTGGTACAGTTGTATCGCATCGTCCAAAACCACTCGATTCGCAACGCGGTCCTGGTTGACCGAACCAAAACTTCAGATACATAGATATGGATAAGAAATGTAATATGTATGGGATTGGATTGACTCCATTTGAGAATGGCTCTTTTGTTTTATATTACTGTACCGGTAGTGATAACGCAAAAAGGGACTTTTAAAAGTGTCGACTAAACCAGGTATGATACCGGTAGAAGCTATTGGAGTCCATCAAGTTCAATATAAAAGTCGTATGTATGACTGCAGTTTCTCGTTTTTGCGGTCCGTCAAGGATAAGTGCGGTCGCTTCTGATTGAACGAAGCATGTATGTGCACGTGTATTTGGTATTGGAGGACCCGGCATTAGGAGCTAAATACTCATTTCGGTGTATTTATATTGATAAATCTTTCTGGAAAAATCTTGGTCAGAACGTTTTCCCGATTAGATGCTAAATCTTCCATTGGATTTTCGACATTGGTGCACTTGCAGCGTTAAGTATATATCAATTAACCATCAAACTATCCGGGAATACTGCATACAGGAAATTATGGGATATCGAGTGCCGCTTTTGGGTTTGGCGGCTCTTTGGATGGATTTGGAGTTAGGATTTTGATTTCGTTTGGGGCGTCTGGGAAAATTAAACCTACTATCAATACCGTAGACAAAAGCCTAATATACAGAGTGTGTAATAGATACATAGCAATACACTGTACAATACAAGGCACACAATGATGATAGGACCCATGGATGACATGCTGGACGACATGATGTCGTCAGATGAAGAAGAGGAAGATCAATTAGACTCATCCTTAGACTTTGATGATGACGATGATCATTCGTACAATGATTACGATGAACCAACCTTTGGTTCTGATGAAGAAGAGGATTATTCTACGGGTTGTTTGTCCACCATTTGGGAAGACGAAGAGCCACCTGAGAATGAGACTGTGAATGGAACCATTGATACGAGCGGTCGCACCGGGAACGCTTTGTTGGCCTTTCAGAACAGCAAAAACAATCTTTCCTTCCTCAATGATTCTGCAAACAGAGACTTGTGGAGATCAAGCTCTAGTTTCACATCCCCGGTTTCTACCATGTGGGAAGATGGGCTTAGTTTAGAAGGCTCTGATAGAAGAGAGAATAAACCCACGAGACGATGGTCTTCAGAAATGAGTTTTGGAAGTCTGAATTCAGATAATAGTGGAAATGCTGGAAATGGAAATGCAGCAATGCGAAGAGGAAGTGGAGGCCATAATAGAAGAGGAAGCGGAGGCTTTAACAATTATGAAGCTGACAATAAAGACGGTACTCCCAAAATGTGTTATCGGAGAATGTCTATGGGTGCCAGATCTCAATCTGATTCCAGTCTCGGTTCGAACAATACTAACAATAGTATTTCGGAACACAAATCCAATATCACTGCTGACAAGAAGGATGGAACCCCAAAAATGTGTTATCGAAGAATGTCCATGGGTGCTCGATCCCAATCTGACTCCAGTCTAGGTTCCAACAATTCTGTGACCGAACACCGATCCAACATCACTTCCGACAGTATGAAGGATGGAGCTCCACAAATGACTTTCAGACGCATGTCCATGGGCGCTCGATCTCAAAGTGATTCTAGTCTCGGTTCCAATAACAGTGTGACCGAACACAAATCCAATACCACTGACAAAATCATGAAGAGTTTGATGGAGGAGACGTATGGTTGCGAAACCAGTGATGCCTTGATTGCGCAAATGGTGAATGCCTACTTTACAGGAGAAAAGGTTCAAATGGTGGTCGATTCGTTGGCCAACTCGAACAAAGATGGAGAGCCTGATGTTGGTATCCTAGAAGTGACTCCAACTTCGATGCGGCAATCCCGAGGGGCCAGACCCCGTCTCAGTTTGGATTCGTATTTGGCCGCTACGCCGACACGTACCACAAGAAGCAACCAATTGCCGCCCGGCAAACCACGCCGCCAATTGTCGCCTATTCGAAGACGCAGTATGGATTCCCTAGACAGTGGGGTGACTGGAGTTTCAGGTGATTCGTTGTTGGAACGAATTCAAACGAAACCCAATGCCAATGCCTTCAATGCGGACGAGACCCCTGAAAAGATTAAGGATACGCCTCCCGTCAATCCCACCGATGCGGTTCGCAAACGACCACCCGGCATACCCGTGAGGCAGCGGAGTCTCGCTTCCATGAATACCGAAGGCGATGATGATGACAGTGATGCTTCCATCGATGATTCGTTTGGTGATGAATCCTCTGCTGGTGCATCAACAGCAGGACCAACCTCCTTTCGATTTTCCAAACGAGGGTCCCTTCTCAGTGCTTGTAGTAGTACAGGCACCATGACAATTGAAGAGGGTGATGAAGATGATTGTAGCAGTAGTGATGATGAGACCTTGGACAGCAATGCTGAAAGTGAGAGCGTGGGCCATACTATTCCACCACCGAGGCAATACTTCGCCCCACTCAAGGGTGGCGGCGGTGGTGCGACTACTAGTAGTGTGGAAGAGAGTGTGGAGGATAGTGATCTGGAGGATGACGAGGATGAAAGTCTTCCATCCAGACAATACTTGGCGCCACTTAAGGGTGGGCCAACTGATGAAATAGATGATGGTGGTGTTGCTCCTCCAAGAGAGTACTTGGTGCCGCTGTCCATGGGTCACCAAGAGCACGAAGAGGAGGACGAGGAGGAAGAAGAAAGAGAGTATCTTGTGTCAACCAAGGGTGACGAACTGGAGGAATCACCTGTAGTAGTGGAAGAGACTCAACCACAGCAGGACGAGGATGTAGACTCGGAAGTGGACTCGGAAGGTCCAATGGTGGTTGGACTCGAAGGATTGAGTGATCCATCGACGATTATTCCCGAGATTACAACGATTTCACTCCCACCCGAAGACGAACGAGTGGATGCCAAACTCATCCTAGAAAAGCATTTGCTCGAGGAACAAGCACCGCAATCGCCACGCACTTTGGAACGAAAACGATCCGGAAGTAGCCACAAACGCAAGATCAAGTATGACATGGCGCGATGTGCCATCACCCCCAAGATTGACATGTTACTCTCTCCTGTGGGGACGCATAGCAATAAGAATAAGGTGGCTCCCGATTCCATGACCTTTCCGCCAAGCGTCGTCGAAAAGTCCAACATGATGGATATCTCGGACAGAACACTCCCTCCAGCTCCAGAAGAACCAGAAGATTCGGATCCCATTCTGAGTCCACTTCAAAAGAAGATTCCTCGACGGACCAGCAGCAATAGCAGCAACAAAGATACCATTGATAAGCGGATTCGCATCCGAAGCAAGATGCAACACGTCGAAGATCGACTGGCTAATATTCGCAGCCTGATGGATGAACCTTCGTCGGAAGAGGACATTGAAAAAGACTTTGAATCTTCTTCGACTCAGTTGACCGATGCAACGTCTGCCTATCTTACTGATGGGAGTTCGGAAATGGAAATGTTGGTCCCACTCTCCATGATGACCAATTCTACGCATAGCAGCCGCAGCCGATCGAGACACGTCTCCATGGCTGGAATGGTTGACGAAACGGTACCCGGACCACCCATGCGATCGCCTCGATCCCCCAACAGTCCACTGCAACATCCTACCCCCTGTGGACCTACCATTATGGAAGATGCTGCTACTACTTCTGGATCTGGACCATCGTCCCTGGTCAAAGAATTTACTAGCAATTCGGGACGCAAGGCAAGGACCGCACTCACCAAGGGATTTCAACGAAGCAGACAACGGTTGCAATCTTTGTTGCGGCCAAATAGCAGTAGCCATTCGGCGGCCGAGTCATGGTCTGTCGGATCATCCTCTTCGAATTCCTTTTCGGTGCAATGAACATGAAGTCGAGTCACTACTACATCCCAACCTACCACCAAATGAACCGATCGAAATTCCTTTGTTGTTTCTCTACATTTCTTTTGTTGGGAATTCTTGCAACAAGTGCAAATTTAACCACACAGAATGATAATGACAAAGATGAGGGCCATTTGGTGTGATGAAACATTAGGCAATGCATAGAATATTTTCAATAGATTCATTAGTTTTTGTATTAGTATCCATTGTCTATATAATATAGAAAATATAATAATCTCAACAAGAATACCGGGACCAGTATTATACGTACCGTTCAAAACAAATAAAAAATTAACGATTTCCGAACCGCAGCGATTTTCCTTGCGCTGCGCGGTCTCATCGCATCGAAAAATAAGAACACAATAACAGAAACGACAGGCATATTAGACACGATCAAAGAAATGACAGCATCATCATAACAACGATGATATACACGCACTACAAATCATCATCCTGCTCATCAATGCGGATCTTCAGGCAGCTCCTCTTACTGATGATTATATCCTCTCAATGCGTTGCAGCAGCAGGCAGAAGCATCTTTAACGAAACATATTCTGAAACCTTTTTGCTGAATTGTTTCTCTTCTGATGATCTCGAGGAAGAAGAATCAGACACTACTCTGAGTGATGAGAATAGCACTAGCAGCCTCGTTCACCGTAGCGTCATTGTAAATAACGAGACTGCAGCCATCACAGTCTATCCTGGAGATCGACTCGTTTTGAATCACCAATCACCGCAATCGGTCTCACGCTACGCTACTGACGATTGTACCGAATTCAGCAATGAAAGTCTCCTCATCAATACCAACGTTTATCGATTTCATCCGAACGATGTCAACAAGAACTTCACCTTCGTATGTCAGCAAGACAACACAACTGCTAGTTTTGGCTGCAATTATACGTTGGCTCAGACATTTTCAATTCAGCCTATTCCCACTCCACGAAAAAGATCCTGGCCCATAGAGAATCTCCATCAAGTCGGACTGGGGGAGTATAGTCTCATGTTTCTGCTGTTAATGGGCACACTCGGTATGACTGCCTCTTGCATGAATTGTTGCATGGAATGGTCAGACAGACAACAGGAAAAAGCGGCGGATGAGGTTGCCCAGGAAATGATAAATGATAATGATGAACATGGCAATGATGATGCTGCTGTTGAAGAGAACTCAAGCATGGCGTCTGAATGAAAAAAATCATACGACACTCAGAAAATCCCATTCAAGTTATACACCAACACCAAGAACACATCCATACAAGTATGCCAAACAGTCATTCGCTAAACTGATGAGCCATGACCCACCCATGATTGCAACACAATTGGTGCTTGATGATACAGACAGGCAGTCGCTGTATAGCCACCTCCTGCGAATAGGTACTACTAGTGTTTGCTGTTCCATCCTATCACTGGCCGCCGAATGGATGTTGACAATGATTCGATGCATACGATTGCTTTCTTTCTCTAGCCACTTCAACAATGGTGCATCCATTTGAGTTTTAAAAAGTAAATTAAGAATTATACGACCCTACTATAATACTCTCTCACCTTGGATGGATAATTTGGGCAATGATATTCACGGTCCATGAGGAGGATCTCGGCATTTCTTGTGAAAGACATGGTGCAGCTAGATTTGTTTGGGGCACCAGAAAGGCAATGCGCAGGGAGAAAACACTTTCCAGGTAAGTGGTACTGTAGTTCAACAGTCAACGATGAACCTGGGAAGTCTCGTCTTCTTATTATTCATCGGCATTTGATTGATTCCAGCTAGTCCACCGCAAATTCGCTACTTGATGCGATAATACCTGGCATCCTACTGTACACGAACAGACCGCAATCTGTATGAAAACCAACCATCCCACTTTCGTACTACTGTAGCAGGTACCCTCATCTCACTGGGTGGGTGAGCGGATATTTACATTGCATAGAGATAGAAGACAAGGTAGATAGCTTGGAAAACCAATGAATGATGTATAATGTTTCTATGTGTCGTCGTTATAAGCGAGGATTGGTGTAGAAAAAAAATGAGCTTTCCTCTGCCTGGCTCGCTCCTAATCTTGGCCGTCTACAGTGCCTAGCTGTCAAAAGGTGGTGGTGGTAGTAGTTCGTTATCATAGTCGGACCATTGACTCATGTCATCATCCTCGTCTTCGGGCATTGTAGATAGTGTTTGCCCATTCTTCAAATCACCTGAAATAAGATCACCTCCCGATCCTCGGCGCATCGGCAAGGTAGGTGGCGAGTAGTCATTGTCTTCGTCGAGGAGTGGACTCCAGTGGTCCGTGTTAGCAAGGTCAGACGCAATGCTTCTCGTGGACCGTTCGCTATTACAATAAGTATCATAGTCCTCGCCCTTCATGACGAGCAGGGATTCTCCTGAATCTTCTGCTTTGTTGTCGTCCTTCTCGTCCTTGTGTTCATGTAACTTTAGATTTGCTAGCTTGGAAATATCGCGCATTCCTATTTTGGCCAAATCACCATCTAACGAGTCTTTGATGGCAACGTTATCGGAAGGCTCTGCACTATTTGTGGACCTCTGCGACGTAGAGTCGTCAGAATGGCAGTTGTCACCTTTGCCTTCATCATTCGACGTCCGTCGCTCTGGTGCTTTGGGAGGGGCATTGTATCCAGAAGTCAAAGGGGAGTTTCTCCTCATTGGCTGCGAAGGAGGCATTCCCTCTGTCAAGCTCCATCGTTGCTCCTCTGTAGACTCCGCGGAAGACGATTCTTCGTCTTCATCATCGGTCCACAGGTAGCTGATTTCATGATCACTATGGAGGATCATTTCGTTGAAACGCACAGATTTTCTTCTTGCTGATGACATGATGATGAATAATATTGTGACAATGGAGCATAATATATTTCTTATAACCTCTGATTTTGATGCCTTTGCGTTTTCGCTTTTTGCCTGGTACGAAAGATCTGGTGTTCTCACTCGACAAATGCGTCTGTTCTGAAATGTCGTGTTTCGAATCTGGAATGCGCTTCGGTTCGTCATCTGATAAATCCGAATAGTTGAACGCTCCGATCTTTTGTTTTGATAATAAACGAAGAAGACAAGGTGATAAAGCAGCCGCACTGTGATGCTCATCGAAGAAAACTGATTAGCCGATACGGAGATTCATTTAATCTGGAATTTAGACGGATTGATCGCAACCACCATTCTGATCCGAAGAAATCTTTCATCACTTCAACAAGATACTTTGGCAGTGCATTTCATTTGCCCGAAAGATGTTTCTAAAATCCCCTTGTGACAGGTCGGCCACGCATTTTGCAGGAGCGAATCCATCATGGTGGATACATACCTGTATATTCGTCCACAGAGAAAGAACTTTTGCGAGAATAGTCGAAGCCCCATCGCTTCGACGAACTTCGTTGTGGGATGTAGCCCTAAGTAGGGAGCTCAGAGCACGACCGAAGTTTCTCCCCAATATATGACAGGGACAAAAGCTTCTCCGGTATAATACATCACACCATCAGTCTGTCAAGTGGATATTCATTTTCAATTTCGCCTGCAGTATATATGGTACGTATAGGTATAATATAATTTCGAAAGAGTTGTGGAAACAAGTAATGTACACCCGCTCTCAATCCATTGAGCATATGAACGATTCTTATCGAAAAAGAAGATCAAATGAGAAAGGGAATGCAATGAAGGTGCGGTGGTCTTCTGATGCATCAGTACACTC